CTAGAGGAGAATAGAGGAGAGGGGTTGCAGTGTGGCCATCCACCCTGAGGAGTGATTTCTCACTCACTCTCCCATCTATTTCTGTCTCAGCTTCTCCTCTGAATAGTTGTATGACTCTGGAATCTTTTCTTTTAAGGTTCTTGCCATAGGCCCATGTGCTTACCAGAGAAAGAGAGACAGAGAAGGAAGGAGAGAGGGAGAGAGAGGATAAATGAGAAATCACCCCTTAGGGGAGATTGCCACTCTATAACCCCTTCTCCACTATCCTCCTCTCGGGGTTTTAGGCACACATGCACATGTGCCTGGCCGATTCTCAAGCTTCCAGGTCTGGGATTTGAACTGTGGTCTGCCACATGAAGTCCAGTGCCTTAACCAGCATGCCACCTGCTGGCCTTACCTAATCTTTTTATACCTCAGTTTTTTCAGCTGTAAAATAGGGAATAATGATACTACCTAATACAGCTATTACAAGTAGTTAATATAAAACACTTAGCAAAGTATCAGGCATCCAGTAAGAATTCTCCTAATCTTGTTTAAATGCTTCACTTAAAATTAGTAAAGTATTGGGACCAGCAGTTGGTGTAATGGCTTTGACTCTGGACTCCCATGTAGCTGACCACGATTTGAGTCCTGAACCCAGTGGCTTAAAGTCACACCAGGCATGTGTGCAGGACCAAGATCCCAAGAGGAGAATGGAATAGAAGAGACTGCAGCGTGGCCATTCCCCTGGGGGATGAATTCTCACTTTCTGTGTCTCTGTCTCTCTCTGTCTTTCTGGCAAGTGCACGGGCCCTATAGCAGAAACCTCTCCAAAAAAAAAAAAAAAAACAAAAAAAACTAGTCAAGTATTAGCTGGTCCTACACTAAGTACTCACTAAAAAAACTAGCTTCAAAACATTCCGGTAAATACTCCAAATAACCCATGATATTGTGCTAATAGCCTCATATTAAGTTTCCATTCCTGTGCTAGCTATTACTTCTGTTCATTCATTTTAACATTTCAAAGTATCTGAGACAGGAAGCCTTATTTATCTGCTTCTAAATATTAAAAGAAAGACATTTTAATAGGTAGTTTTTCACTGGCAAAACTGATCTTATAATTAATCCTTATTTCTGTCTATAGAGATTACACTGTTTTATACTTTTCCTATGAAAACTGCTCTGAGACTAAGTAAAAATAAAAACAAAAAACCAAAATCTGTAATCAGTATTTTAAATTTATATTTTAAAGCAATAAATAAAGCCAATAATTCTATGGAGTAATCTGAGTTGGCAAGTAGGTCTCATTTTACACACCCATTTGTATTCAAATGGGACATTAAGAAGGATTCTGCTATTACAACGGAATCCTTAGGCTTAAATGCAAATATCCTATGGTGACTCAGCACTGTCTGACAAGGTAAAGAGGAAGCCTGGAATGTTGGTCAGCCCTAGGATAGAGAATGGCAGCAGGTGAGTAAACACTGCCCCAGGCAGCAAAGTCAACACTTAGGAACACTTAGTGACAGAAGGGGACTAATGTTGCAGAAGTAGAATTCTTTTACTCTTCAGAGCCACCCTTTAAGACTGTTATTACTGTTGGGGCAGTCACGGTGGTTGAGGCACTGAATCCACACAGGGTCTACCACGGTTCAAATCCCAGACCTGGCCGCTCTCTTTTTCACTTTCCCTCTTTTTCTTTCCCAGTCTTTCTCTGGTGAGTGCACATGCCCTATAGCAAATTTTTAAAATAATAATAATAATAATATATAAAATTAAATAAAATAACCTTTTTTTGGGAGAAGTTTTTGTTACAGGGCACATGTGCTTGCCAGAAAGACAGAGAGAGACAGAGAGAGGAAGCAAGAAATCACCTCCCAGGAGGATGGCCACAGCGCAATTCCTTCTCCTCCATTCTCCTCTCAGCATCTTGGTCACGCATGCACATGTGCCCGGCATGAGTTTAAGCCACTGGGTCTGGGACTCGAACTGTGGTCGACTATATGGGAGTCCAGTGACATAGCCATTACGTCAACTGCTGGCCCCAATAAAATAATTCTTTTAAAAAAGAATTTTAATGTTCTTAGTACATGAAATACTGACTTTGAAATTGTGCATTTATATGAGTGCCACTATAAATAGATGAGAACAATAATTTTGAACAAACTTGCTAAGTACGTCGAGACTAAAATATGGACTGAATTCCAAGGTTGTGGTGAAGGTCAGAAATGACCAGAACACTAAAGCTTTAAGCTCAGTCAGAAAATGTCCTTCACAAAAAGATCTCCAAACAGAACTGTAATGTAACAAACTTGCTAGAAGAATAATCATTGTTGGGGCCAGCAGGTGGCGTGGTGGTGGGGGTAATGGACTCCCACATGACCGACCCAGGTCTGAATCCCAGACCTGGTAGCTTGCTGTCTCACTTTCTCTCTCTCTCTCTCTCCCTGTCTGGGGAGCACATGAGTCCTATAGCAAAGTTAAAAAATAATAATAATAAATAAATTTTTAAAAACGTATCATTCTGTGATGAACCTTAATGAGTCAGAAAGACTACATGGATTCCTAAATGAAGCACATAGCTAATCCCTGGAGGACATTTGAGCTCGAGAGCTTTGTCAGAATCAATTTATAAGCTGGTGTCTGAAATTAGTGCGAGGCATTACAGAGATATTAAGAAAAAATAAGCCTCAAGTTACATTAAGGTATTTTAATGAAGTTGTTATTAATTGTTGCATTTAAAGACAGAGAGGGAACCAGAAATAATTCCATTGAGGAAATGAGACCCAGGGAGGGTAAGCCTTTCCCCAAGGTTAAACAGCTTGTTAGCAGAAGTTCAACCATATCTACGATGTATGTCATGTTTAGGTTTAACTTCACAAAGTTCTTATTCCTCTCCTCTGTTTGGCTTAGAACAGCTCAAAAAAAAAAAGGCTCTTTCAGATTGAGAACAAAAATAATATTTGAAAATTCTCTGTCTGGATTTCAGGCTATGCTGAAGAGTCATGGGTTCCATTTATATTAACAATCTTCTTATCAGCTTCTGGCCACCTGCAGAACTGGGAGGAGAGAAACAAGCAGCTGTATTCAGAGAAGGAAAGGGGAGTTTCACACCACCTGCCAGAAATAGAAATGGTGAATAAGAGCATTTCAAGTGTTCAAACGCACAGCTGAGGACTGTGAGACAATGGAAGTGCTGCCTTTGCTTACCTGCACCTTGGAGAAGCTGTTTTCCAAAGGCCCTCTGCTTCTCCAAGTGAAGAATGTGGCAAGGAGGGACCAGAATGCTGAAGGCTCCAGAGGCTGTCTGCTAACCTGCTGGGGCCTGTCTAGTGGAAGTGATCCAAGACAGAGGGTCCTGCTGCTTCTTTTCTTGCAACTGCCAAAAGAAGACACAAAGATAGCATACTTAGAAGAATGTCTCAGCTACTCAAGGAAAATTTACAGCCATTAAAAAAAAAATGAACAATTAAAAACAATGAAAAATTCTATTTTAGTAAACTGTCTTCTCATCTCCTAAAAACTGCTTTACAGAATGATAAAATTATTCAATACAAAAACAAAGCAAAAAGTCCAAAAACAAAGTCAACAGCACATATTACATTACTCCCATTCACAACTGGTTTTCTAAAGGCTTCACCTCAGTCTCCTTGAAAAAATAACACATCCAGCTCAATTAATCCAAAACAACCTAGTAATGAAAGAACCATCTGTCTTACTTTGCAGCTTCTCTCCCACATATACACAGCTTTATTGCTAAATGCAGAGGTGGGAGAAGGAGCTATTGCTTGGAAAACCCTCAGAGGAGGAAGAGAAGAGAGGAAGAGGAGAATGAGGAGGACATTGAGAATTAAACATCTCAGAGAAAGGGAGGGAGGAGAAAGCTTGGAAGAATTAATGAAAAGGGCAGCCAGTTTAAGAACGTGCTATGGGCCATTTCCCCACCCCCCACCAAAAAATTGAAAAAAAAAAAAAATTCAGACTACTCCTGCTATAGCTTTTCTTACGTAAGACTAATCCTGACACAAAACAAACCAACAGAAACTCCATGCTCTCTTGTATCAACAGAAAATATTTACTGAAACAAAATGTTAAGGAAACATTTTTTAAAAGCTCAACAGACAAATGGCAAATATTGTTTTAGAAGCCAGTTAGGGAAGCTAATGTCCTCCGATAGGAAATTAAGTATGCTAATTAGGAAAACCATAGAGTAACATGAAAGAACAGAGTCTACCAAGTAAAGAAAAGAATCCATACAGCTGAATACACTAAGTATTTCTCTTTGTTAAATATTTATGTGTACGGGACCAGCAGTTAGTGTAATGGCTATGTTGCTGGACTCCCAAGTAGTCAACCGCGGTTCGCATCCTGAACCCGGTGGCTTAAAACTCATGCTGGGCATGTGTGCATGCGTGCCCAAGATCCGGAGAGGAGAATGGAGGAGAAGGGGTTGCGACATGGCGACGTGGCCACCACCACCCCCGGGGGGTGATTTCTCGCTTTCTGTCTCTCTGTCTCTGTCTGGCGAGCACACGCACCCTATAGCAAAAACCTCTAAAAATATATATATATATTTATGTGTACAACACATCCCTGGAAAGCATAGAGAAAAAGAAAATCAATTGAGGTGTGATTTGAGATTTTCCTCTTAAAATACCATACGTTTTTAAATGTGTAAAGAAATAGAAAATGCTATTTTCTGTATTTCTATGTACATGTCACTTCTGAAATGCTAAGTAGTTGACCCATTTCAAAACTAGAAGAAAAACAAATTGATGCTCTCAGTGGTTAGTACTTAATATGAGAAGTCATCTTATGGGCCTAAAGATATTATGACTCATGATCCATTCGTGCCTCTAATAATAATATATAAAATTAAATAAATGATTCTTTAAAAAAAAAAAAGGATGGTACTTCTGCTACCCCTATTCTAAAGATAAAGGCACTAACACACAGCGAAGGTATAACTTGCCCAAAGACCCACTTAGCCACAGAGCTGGGACTAGAACTGAGGTACACACCAGAACCCATGCTCATCATCATTATGTAGTAAGAACTCTCAGAATACTCCCATCTTCTTGATGCCAGAAAATGGAAAGATTGACAGGGATGGCAGCTCCACAAATCACCAAGATGCTTACAGCCCAGATTCTATTAAATTAAGATGTTGCTGGAAGAAAAAAAAAAAAAAAAAACCTGAGATCTAGCCCCTCCTCCAGCCTAAGATCAGGACTGTACTGGGGAAATAACCTCAATGTGAACAAGCAAGAGCTCAGAGATCCGCAAGGACTGAATTCCAAGGTTGTGGTGAAGGTCAGAAATGACCAGAACACTAAAGCTTTAAGCTCAGTCAGAAAATGTCCTTCACAAAAAGATCTCCAAACAGAACTGTAATGTAACAAACTTGCTAGAAGAATAATCATTGTTGGGGCCAGCAGGTGGCGTGGTGGTGGGGGTAATGGACTCCCACATGACCGACCCAGGTCTGAATCCCAGACCTGGTAGCTTGCTGTCTCACTTTCTCTCTCTCTCTCTCTCCCTGTCTGGGGAGCACATGAGTCCTATAGCAAAGTTAAAAAATAATAATAATAAATAAATTTTTAAAAACGTATCATTCTGTGATGAACCTTAATGAGTCAGAAAGACTACATGGATTCCTAAATGAAGCACATAGCTAATCCCTGGAGGACATTTGAGCTCGAGAGCTTTGTCAGAATCAATTTATAAGCTGGTGTCTGAAATTAGTGCGAGGCATTACAGAGATATTAAGAAAAAATAAGCCTCAAGTTACATTAAGGTATTTTAATGAAGTTGTTATTAATTGTTGCATTTAAAGACAGAGAGGGAACCAGAAATAATTCCATTGAGGAAATGAGACCCAGGGAGGGTAAGCCTTTCCCCAAGGTTAAACAGCTTGTTAGCAGAAGTTCAACCATATCTACGATGTATGTCATGTTTAGGTTTAACTTCACAAAGTTCTTATTCCTCTCCTCTGTTTGGCTTAGAACAGCTCAAAAAAAAAAAGGCTCTTTCAGATTGAGAACAAAAATAATATTTGAAAATTCTCTGTCTGGATTTCAGGCTATGCTGAAGAGTCATGGGTTCCATTTATATTAACAATCTTCTTATCAGCTTCTGGCCACCTGCAGAACTGGGAGGAGAGAAACAAGCAGCTGTATTCAGAGAAGGAAAGGGGAGTTTCACACCACCTGCCAGAAATAGAAATGGTGAATAAGAGCATTTCAAGTGTTCAAACGCACAGCTGAGGACTGTGAGACAATGGAAGTGCTGCCTTTGCTTACCTGCACCTTGGAGAAGCTGTTTTCCAAAGGCCCTCTGCTTCTCCAAGTGAAGAATGTGGCAAGGAGGGACCAGAATGCTGAAGGCTCCAGAGGCTGTCTGCTAACCTGCTGGGGCCTGTCTAGTGGAAGTGATCCAAGACAGAGGGTCCTGCTGCTTCTTTTCTTGCAACTGCCAAAAGAAGACACAAAGATAGCATACTTAGAAGAATGTCTCAGCTACTCAAGGAAAATTTACAGCCATTAAAAAAAAAAAATGAACAATTAAAAACAATGAAAAATTCTATTTTAGTAAACTCCCTTCTCATCTCCTAAAAACTGCTTTACAGAATGATAAAATTATTCAATACAAAAACAAAGCAAAAAGTCCAAAAACAAAGTCAACAGCACATATTACATTACTCCCATTCACAACTGGTTTTCTAAAGGCTTCACCTCAGTCTCCTTGAAAAAATAACACATCCAGCTCAATTAATCCAAAACAACCTAGTAATGAAAGAACCATCTGTCTTACTTTGCAGCTTCTCTCCCACATATACACAGCTTTATTGCTAAATGCAGAGGTGGGAGAAGGAGCTATTGCTTGGAAAACCCTCAGAGGAGGAAGAGAAGAGAGGAAGAGGAGAATGAGGAGGACATTGAGAATTAAACATCTCAGAGAAAGGGAGGGAGGAGAAAGCTTGGAAGAATTAATGAAAAGGGCAGCCAGTTTAAGAACGTGCTATGGGCCATTTCCCCACCCCCCACCAAAAAATTGAAAAAAAAAAAAAATTCAGACTACTCCTGCTATAGCTTTTCTTACGTAAGACTAATCCTGACACAAAACAAACCAACAGAAACTCCATGCTCTCTTGTATCAACAGAAAATATTTACTGAAACAAAATGTTAAGGAAACATTTTTTAAAAGCTCAACAGACAAATGGCAAATATTGTTTTAGAAGCCAGTTAGGGAAGCTAATGTCCTCCGATAGGAAATTAAGTATGCTAATTAGGAAAACCATAGAGTAACATGAAAGAACAGAGTCTACCAAGTAAAGAAAAGAATCCATACAGCTGAATACACTAAGTATTTCTCTTTGTTAAATATTTATGTGTACGGGACCAGCAGTTAGTGTAATGGCTATGTTGCTGGACTCCCAAGTAGTCAACCGCGGTTCGCATCCTGAACCCGGTGGCTTAAAACTCATGCTGGGCATGTGTGCATGCGTGCCCAAGATCCGGAGAGGAGAATGGAGGAGAAGGGGTTGCGACATGGAGACGTGGCCACCACCTCCCCCGGGGGGTGATTTCTCGCTTTCTGTCTCTCTGTCTCTGTCTGGCGAGCACACGCACCCTATAGCAAAAACCTCTAAAAATATATATATATATTTATGTGTACAACACATCCCTGGAAAGCATAGAGAAAAAGAAAATCAATTGAGGTGTGATTTGAGATTTTCCTCTTAAAATACCATACGTTTTTAAATGTGTAAAGAAATAGAAAATGCTATTTTCTGTATTTCTATGTACATGTCACTTCTGAAATGCTAAGTAGTTGACCCATTTCAAAACTAGAAGAAAAACAAATTGATGCTCTCAGTGGTTAGTACTTAATATGAGAAGTCATCTTATGGGCCTAAAGATATTATGACTCATGATCCATTCGTGCCTCCGAATTCTCTTCCTAAATGCAGACAAAGTGCAATTCCTGGGTTTCTAATATCTTCTACCCTCTACTGCTAATTACTAACTGGTGTAAAGGATCACTCACAATTTTAAAGTTGGAAGGACCCTTTAAAATTACTTAGTCTGAAGAGGTTGGTAAAGACACCTCAAACCAGGTCACACCAAGAAGAGCTGGGGGAATGGGGATTTAGTTACAACTCCAGAAGCTTAAATCAAGGAAAGAAAAGGTCTCATGTTGGAAGGGCCTTCGTGAAGAATTGGCTTGGTTCTGAAAGCTTAAGCCAAGGCCAATGAATACAAAATTCAAGTGGTTAGATTTGATCTTGGTTACTAGGACCTTGCTAATATTTAGGCTGCCTAAAGATAATAAAGGTTGCATTGTTCCATAGTGAGTCACTGGTTACTAAAGACACTCTGTTCCAAGGACGACTTGGCAGGAGTCTGTAAAGGAGTGTTTAACAAACTCCCATTCCCACAGACATCACCTGAGCACTGTGTTAAGCTGCTGATTCTGACTCAGCTGGGTCTGAGGCAGGGCCTGATCACTGCTTCCAGCAAGCTCCCAGGTGGTGCCAGTACTGCTCTCCCTGGCCTGGAGCTTTGAGTGGCAGAGACGCTGGGTGAGCAGGAGCATTAGGATAGTTTTTAAACCACTGTTTCCCAAAGAGTGTTTGCTGCAGAGTCTTCCAAATACTTGATTTCAAAAGTCCTCTCCCACCCTGATTTGAGGACAGATTATTAAAAAACAGGTTAAATGGTTATCAGCAAGACCAGCAGATGGTGTAATGGTTATGTCACTGGTCTCCCACGTAGTTGACTGTGGTTCAAATCCCAGACCCAATGGCTTAAAACAAATGCCAGGTGCATGGTGTGCATGCCCAAGATCCTGGGAGAATGGAGGAGAAGGGGCTGTGGCATGGCAATCCCTCTGGGGGTGATATCTCGCTTTCTGTCTCTCCGGGAAGCACACATGCCCTATAGCAAAAATCTCTCAAAGAAAGGGTATTGGGACCAGCAGTTAGCGTAATGGCTTTGTCGCTGGACTCCCATGTAGTCGACTGTGGTTCGAGTCCCGGACCCAATGGCTTAAACTCACGCCGGGTGTGTGTGCATGTGTGCCCAAATCCCGAGAGGAGAATGGAGGAGAAGGGATTGCAGCGTGGCCATCCCCCCTAGGGGGTGGTTTCTTGCTTTCTGTCTCTGTCTGCTTTTCTGTGAGTGCACACTCCCTATAGCAGAAAACCTCTCCAAAAAAAAAAAAAAGAAAAGAAAAGAAAAGAAAAGAAAGGGTATCAGCAGGGTTTTGAGGGTCTGTACATTCAAATGTCAAAAAAAAAAGTGGTATTCAGGTATTCTGCAGTACCCCCAATGTTATACCCCAACTAATCATTAATTTTTCACAATTCTAAAAATGAGAATCTTCATTTCCTTAAAACAAATGGCGCCTTTATTTTGAGCTTGGAAAATCACTGAAACCAAATAAATAAGATTCTGGTAAATGAATGAACTTAATGATTTCCATACACTATACTTGATGGAAATGTAGCATGTAAGAAAATATGCTTTTAAAGTCATCTTTCCCAGTGATTTCTGTTATAAAATTGTGTGCCTCACAAGTGGGCATGGAATGAATCCCAAGGTATAATTTTTAGTTTTGTTTTTTTGGGGTTTTGTTGCTGTTGTTTCTCAATATAGGGCTCTGCATCACTTTCCTGGCCCTGGAATTCTACCTCCCTACCACCTGACTGGGTAAGAATTCTTTTTTTTTTTTTGGAAAGGTTTTTGCCATAGGACTTGTGCGCTCGCAAGACAGAGAAACAGAAAGCAAGAAATCACCCCCCACAAGGGATGGCCACGCCGCAATTCCTTCTCCTCCATTCTCCTCTTGGTATCTTGGGCACGCACGCACATGCACCTGGTGTGAGTTTTAAGCCACCGGGTCCAGGAGGCGAACTGCGGTCGATTAGATGGGAGTCCAGTGACATAGCCATTACGCTAACTGCTGGTCCCTGGGTAAGAATTCTTCAATGCCTTGAACGTCTTCATTTCTTGCTCAGTCATATTTTCCACTTTTCCTCTACCTATCTAATAAAGGTGGGCTTACATTGGTTTAAATCTTATGTGATGCCTTTCCTGGAGAAATGTGCTAATGCCCACCTTCCTGAAATTGGAAGGCATTCTCCTATTTTTCTCCCAGATTAAATAAACCTAGAGCTAAGAGAGAACCAGTTTCTTGTCTTTCCCCAGATTCTGAAAGTCCTCCTTCCAAAGGATCTACTTAAAATTTACAAATACTATTCCATCTGATTTACAAAAGCCTTTTTTCCCAGATTATTTATTATCCGCTTAAAAATTACAAATAATATTCCATCTGATTTACAAAAGTCTTTTTCCCCCTCCCGGATTATTTATGATGCCAGCCTATTCTGGATAAGCCTATGTTGTTCTGGTCCTTAGGAAGTATCATTTCCTGCTTATTAATTTTACTCCTTATCACTTCCGCTATTTTTAAAATAAAGGAATGAGTTAAACTGAGAGTGAACAATCAGATAAGCATGTATCAAATCTTAAGATCCCAATGTTGGAAACGGTCCTGCTTTCCATGGCAATGAAAATATACACCACTATCCATTGGATGAGATGAATCTGAAATTGGCTACCTCATAATTTATTAGTACAAATAAACCAATGGATATATATTTTTAATGAAATTATGTAATCCTAGATATAATTCCTAATACCAGTAGGTTAATCTTATTTTTAAAGAATTATTTTATTGGCAATTCTCTTTCCCACTATACAAGATGGCAGATGAAAAAGCTGTGAAGCAGATACTAAGGAAAAGAAACCTGAAGCCAAGAAGGCTGATGCCAGTGACAAGGTTAAAAAGGGCAACCCGAGGACTAAAAAGCCCAAGAAGGGGAAGACCCATTGCAGTGGAAAGCCAGTCCAAGTCCAGGGCATTGGCAGATACTCCCGGTCTGTCGTGTATTCCAGGAAGGCCATGGACAAGAGGAAATACTCGGCCACTAAATCTGGGATCGAAACGAAAAAGGAGAAGGCTCTTGCGACTGTCACAAAACCAGTTGGTGGAGACAAGAATGGTGGCACCCGGGTGGTTAAACTGCACAAAATGCCTAGGTATTATCCTACCGAAGAAGTGCCTTGAAAGCTGTTGAGCTACGGCAAAAAAACCTGTCAGCATGTGAGAAAGCTGCGAGCTAGCGTCATTCCTGGGACCATTCTGATCATCCTCACTGGACGCCACAGAGGCAAGAGAGTGGTTTTCCTGAAGCAGCTGAGCAGTGGCTTGCTACTTATAACCGGACCGCTGGTTCTGAATCGAGGTCCACTGGGTAGAACAAACCAGAAATCTGTCATCACCACTTCCACGAAAATTGATATTAGCAAAGTAAAAATCCCAAAGCACCTTACCAATGCTTACTTCAAGAAAAAACAAACAAACAAAAAACTGTGGAAGGCAGATACCAGGAAGGTGAGATCTT